TCTCTGACACTGTTGTAAACTGGATGGTAAATGGATCGGTACTTGTATAGCACCTCTGTAGTCTTTCGACTGTCATTCATGCACATTTAGACACAGATGACAATTGGGAGCGATTTTGACAGTTATTTGTATGTATAACAGTATGTTTCTGTGTTTTACTGGCGGTAAGAACAAATCTCCCTCTGGGACAGTAAAATCTAAATTCAGCGATGAAAGCGAAAAACATCAAATAACGGTCCAAGGCATGTAATGGGCTCTATTTGTGAATGTCCATGAGGTGTGTGTGCTTGCATGTGTGTCTCTACATCTCTCATCTCTCATCTTATCTTATCCGGGATCGGGTCGCGGGGGCAGCAAGTCCAGCAGAGGACCCCAAACTTCCCTTTCCCTGGCCACATCGGCAAACTCTGACTGGGGCATCCCGGGGGGGGGTTGCCAGGCCAGTGTTAAGATATCTCTCCACCTGGTCCTCAGTCTGCCCCGTGGCCTCCTGTGTGTCTACATGGCCCGTCTCAATGCGCCCAGTGTTGTGTTGTAGCACAGTGGTCCATTCATGAGGCTCTGAAGCAGTTTGTCTAAACAGTTCACCTTCAGCTGGTCCTCCAGGAGCTGGAAGTGTGACTTTCTCTGTTGACGAATGGGAAGGAAATGAGAAAGAGCACCGTTAGTCTTGGCTCGTCTGCCTCAGCTGCTCACACTGCATACTGTTTAATGCTGGCAACTGATCAGCACCGGAAGGAGCAAAGGGATTAAAAACATGATGATGAGTGCTTGTTAGATCAAAGAATTGCTTTAGAATTCATTCAGCTCACCAGCTTTCCATAGAGTAGTAAGTTTATTTTTTGGTCAGATTTTGTGCTGAGGGTCTAGAATCTCCATGTCCAGCTGTTTCTCGCTGTTAGCACAGACTTCAGTCTGTACTTTTAGTATTTAGTAATTTTTGTTCCTGGTAGCAATGTCACTTCTCCAAAGCTGGGCAGTCAGACTTGTGATAGAGTGGTCTGCCCAGGGTGTTCCCTACCTATCATACAATGTGTGGACGGATTAGTGCTGCAACTAATGATTATTATGGATTAATCAATGAATGATTTAAATGTCATAAAATAGTGACAAATGTCTATTCCAATTTCAAAAATTACGTCTTTAAATGTCTTGTTTTGTCCTAAACCCAAAGACATTCTGTTAAAGATTATATAAAACAGAAAAAAAAATCTTAATTCTTAACATTTGAGAGGCTGGAAACAGCATTTTCTACTGTTTTTGCATGAAAAATTACTTTAAAGATTAATCGTTTATCAAAATAGTTGTTGATATTTTCCTGTCAACTACTAACTAATCATTGCTCATTCTTCCTTAACAGGTTAAATTATAAGGATAGATAGAGAGAGAGGTAGACTCTCTGGAGACAGCCATGTTGAAACACAGCAGCAGCAGCAGCAGAGGTATTTCACAGGTGGTTGTGAGAGTTGGCTGGACAAATAATCAGAAGCTGCAACAGACACTGAATCCCTGTATGCTTCATCCTTCTGCTGCAGTGTGTTCCTGCTGTCTAGTCCCTTACATAGATACTGTAACTTTTTCTCATCAAGCTAATAAAAAGGTTTCCCACTGGATTGTCCAGTTAGAATGTGAATTCTACCCACATTTGACCCATTCACAGACTGCAGCATGTAGGTGTTAGAAGACCTGGATATTTTCTAGCAATATGGCTGCCCTTAGGTTTGTACATGGCTTGCACAGTGTCAAGTCATAAGCGAATAAGTCGGTGCAGGCACCTGACCAACAACTTTGATTACAACATTCAATCACCAAATTTCACTGAGGATAAATCTCCACAAATCCAATAAAAGAAAACAGATCTTGTCTCATAATGATCAGATTTAGACTTTTTCATCTGTACCAGCAGCAGTAATGTTTATTGCTCTCTGCTGCTGTAGTTACAGTGCAAACAGGAACTGCTTGTGGGTAATGAAGAACCACTTGCATTTTTGCCAAAATTTAAATAAATACTGGCTCAAAAAATAAACAGCAGCATAAATAGTTTTAAGTGTAATATTTTTTTTATACATTTGTTAAGGTTAATCCTCAGTAACCTAATTCAGTCTTTATCCATCCTTCCAACCACCTCCTTATTTGTCGCTTTTTACGTTATCTCTTTATCATGATGCGGATAGGTTACATAGGAGTAACATTCTGTCACCGAACTGACTCTAGTGCATAGGGCAACATTAAACTAATTGTTTACATCACCAAAGAACCAAAGCATCTCAAACAGACTCTAAAGGTTACCTTGTGGAACTAGGTAAGAACTATCTAAAATGACAAAAAACATCTTTGGGAAAAAATTATTTGACTTGTACTTTGATTTTTTTTGTTTGGCCCCTTTGCTAACATGGAGGCAGCAGGCTTTGTGTCCATACTGCAGTCAGCCACCAGGGGGCAATCCAGATGTTTTGGCTTCACTTTGGAGAGTTGTCATGTCGTCCCTCTATGTCGATGGTAGCAAAAGCTGTCTAGCTAGCTAAATGTCAAGAGTGCAGCAGCTTTGTTGCAGACCACTACCAGGTTAGCACTGATGGTTTATGTGATGAATGACGTTTTGATTGGCAGGCAAGGAGAAAGATGGGTATGGCATATAAGATTTTGATATCCCTGATGTCCCCACGGGCCCCCACTTTGAAAAACACTGCCCTGCCCTAGAGGGCACATTTTGTCTACTGGAAAGGCTGCCTAAAAGACACTTTATCTGTTTTTATTCCACTGGCTGGGCACCCTAGCGGGAAGTTGTTTTCTATTCCATTCTTTGGGGAAAACACTGTGCCAGTCTGTCTTTTACTAGGTCCCTTCAATATTATGGTTATTATTCAGAAACAACACTACCAAAGCAATATACAAAAATGGCAACTATATCAAAAAAATCTGTGAAAAAAATGTGTGTTTCCTGTCTCCCTGCCTGCTCTGTCAGCTGGTCCTAGTCCATGTGCTTTCTTGGTTGCTGTGGTTGTATATTCTCTCTAAACAAACCACAGTGTCTCGCTAATCCCAGGCTTCTGCCTTACGTTACAGCCATCAATTTAAGACCTCCGGGCCTCCTAATTCACCGTGCTGTGGGACACTGTCAAACACTCCTCCACCACACACATGGTTTCCAGTATTACACTGTACGTGTGTGTGTGTTCTGCAGCATCTGTCAGACATGGCAACACATATGGCTGTCAGTGCTGCACGTGTCACCTCGGTACTGTGTAAGCGTCTGTCAAACACTTCCACACACATGGTTCTAAGTAGTATATGAGGGGGATTGTGCTGCTGCTACTGTGCATGGTTGCTGTCGTACTAAAGGGAGTGTGTGTTTTGGGTGTCAGGGTTCCACTGATATAGATTTTAAAAGTCTGATGACTGTAGAAATATAAAGTAGGATGGAAACTGATCCTTAAAGTCATTCCATTTAAAAATGTAATTCTTTGTGTTCCTACAGTGTGATGTCTGACCTCCACTGTGCAGAATGATGTGGTAAATGGACCTGTACTTGTATAGCGCCTTTCTAGTCTTCCGACCACTCAAAGCGCTTTTACACTATATGGCACATTCACCCTTTCACACACATTCACTAAGTGATGGCATAGTCGAACAGAAGCTAACTCATTCATACACATTCACACACTGATGCACAGCATCAGGAGCAATTCGGGGTTCAGTATCAACCTTCCGATTAATGGACGACCCGCTCCGCCTCTGAGCCACATGTATGTGCAGAGTTTGACACTAGAAGGATGTTTTCACATTCATCTGCTGAAAGTGCAAAGTTTCTCTGTGCTCATTGAAAATCTAGATAAATTAAATCTAGAGAACAAGATTTGTAGGCCAAGCCATCTCTACTCTACAGTACTTTGTTTTAATATTGTTTGCTTCTGTGATTTGGATATTGCACATTTTAATAATTTGATTAATTGTGCAGCCCTAACTAAATACCATAGAGTATGTGTGTCTGTGCACCGATCCAAGAGGGTTTAACTTAAACCTAAAAATCGTATTGGATTTTCTCTAGAGATCACAAATAGATTTATATATCAAGATCTGTTAATTTGTCATATGATGTGGCTCTGGAGGACCCTTTTCTTGATAACGATGTCATCATGGTGGCTGTGGCTCAGAGGCAGGGCGGGTCATCCACTAATCGGAAGGTTGTTGGTTTGATCCCCGGCTCCTCCCGCCACGTGTCGAAGTATCCTTGAGCAAGATACTGAACCCCAAATTGCTCCTGATGCCGTGCGTCGGTGTATGAATGTGTATGAATACGTTAGATTCTGTTTGATGGACTTTGCCATCGCTGAGTGAATGTGTGTGAAAGGGTGAATGTGGCACGTAGTGTAAAAGCACTTTGAGTGGCCGGAAGACTAGAAAGGTGCTATACAAGTACAGGTCCATTCACCATAACCATCTGGGTTATCTTGGCTTAAGTTTAAAAATACATTTTTAACAGAAAGCCTCAGATTGGAGTTCTGGATTTGAAACATGTGTACCGTGCATAAACAGTCTAATAAAAAAATTTGCAAAGAGTTGCATTATGGGAAATGTATGATTCAGCGTTTTTGGAGTTTGACCCATGCTAGAGATTACAATCCAAGATACAGTATGTCGGCCACTGATGCTTTCATTTTGACAGTTCTTACTATAATCTGTCTCTTGTGAGTCTCCTTGTTTCTGGAACACAAAGTAGGATGAAAGTACATAACCTCAGTTCTCTGTATCACATTCATACATCTGCAGGTGTGCTTAGAGTTTAGACAGTTACTCACTCTCACTCTTTAGTTCTCTTACACATTGTCTGTGGTCAAAGCTGTGAGGTCCAGATCTTTAATTCTTGTCATTTATGCCCTCTTCAGTCTAGACAAGAGAATCAACTAAATGCTTCAATGTCAAAGTGAGTCTTTCCACAGTCTCTTTCCCCTCTCTTTGTTATACACCCTCACTCAGCCATTCTGTCTCCTTTTTTGTAGATGTCATCTCTCCTACACACTTCAACCCTTACTTCAGGAGGCTGACATTTGATGTGTCCTCCATGGAGAAGAATGCCTCCAACCTGGTGAAGGCTGAGCTCAGGATCTTCCGTCTTCAAAACCCTGGGGCCCGAGTGTCTGAGCAGCGCATTGAGCTCTACCAGGTACACACACTTTCCTCTGGACTGACATCGGTAGCTGTCAGGGTTCCCTACAAATGATTCAAGAGCTAGTTTTTTATTCAGGCTTCAGTTACTTTTTTTTAACATCATAACATCTGTTTAAACAGATGATATGAAAAACCTTTGTGATATATGCACCCGGTTCATTTAAAGTCCATATGGAATGAAAAAAAGCCTTTTTTTTTTAAATTACAAAAAATATTACATCCCCAGTCATATTGTACCCCTATTTAACAATGTATGCAAAAAATGTACAAATCAATTTCTTTGTACTTTTATATCGAAACATGTACACATGTACTTGATTACTACTGTATGTAGAGATGGATTCTTATAGAGTAAAGCTATACTAAATGTGCTCACTCACTCACAGGATCAAGCTCCAATACATTGTTTGCAGTCCCGTGAATCGTGTCATGTGTGAATAAATTAGTTTCTGTTTGTGATGAACCTTTACCTTCAGTGTATGAATGTGAAGGTGCTATATAAGTACAATCCATTTACCATTTACCATGAGATCTGAAATTGGCAGGTAATTTTTCAACTGGGGCCAGAAACCTATTTCCGTAACATATTGTCACAATGACATTTGTGAGTAAAAGGTTTCACCAATTCAGTGTCTGACCATCAGTAAAATATGGCCACAATCTACCCTTCTGTTCCTGAATTAAACATGTTTTTCCAGGACATTATGATGTCACAGTAAAGCTGACCTTTGACCTTTTGCGTAAAAATGTAAGTGATGACATCTTTACGTCGTTGGTACATCGTTATATCCCATTAAACAACTGTGTGACATTTTGTCATAATTTCAGCATTCATTATTGTGTTATGACCAAAAGTTATGGCTGGACCATGTTTTTTGAGGTCACAGTGACCTTTGACCACTAAAACCGATAACAGTTCATCCTAGAGTCCAAGCGGATATTAGTTCCAAATTTGAAGAAACTCCCTCGAGGCATTCTTGAGATATCGTGTTCACAAGAATAGGACGGACGTAAGGACAATCCAAAAACATAATGCCTCCAGCTACAACTATCACCAGCATGGTGGTATAAAACCTAAAAAAACTGTAATTTCAGGAATAACAACTATTGCAAGTTCTAAACTTAATGGTAATATTCACAAGGGTCCGGGGATCACTGTTTCTAACACAGTAAAGTATTAAAGTTAGTGATTTGACCCTAAAGTCACCCCTGGCTGGCTGTCTGTCAGCCTGTCTACACCAGCTAGTTCCCATGCTATGTTTACATCCAGACAAGGAGATGACAGCTGGCCTAAACACAGCTCCAAACAGGGAGATTTTCTCACGCAAACACAGCGCCTGTAAATGTGTGAGGGAGGAAGGGACGAGCCGGTACAAAGAGGGAGACCTGATAACATCCACCTCGTACATCACACACAGACACACACACACACACACACACACACACACACACACACACACACAGACTTATTTATGTCTATACATAGCTAAACTTAACACCTCATCTAGAAATGTTTGAAAATATTTCTGCCTCTGATGTGGAGTTTGGACTTGTAATAAATATCCTGTAGATGCTTCTATAGATCATACATTAAAATTAGTGCTGTCAAACTATTAAAATATTTAATCGCGATTAATCACATTCATGTCATAGTTAACTCGCAATTAATCGCAATTAATCGCACATTTTTATCTATTCTAAATGTCCCTTGATTTCTTTTTGTCCCATTGTTTTTTCTCATTTTAATGCTCTTATCAACATGGAAAAGTGGATCGGCTTGCTTTGTGCAAATGTTGTTTTTATTGAAAAATCATCCATTGTCGCCTGGCTTTGACGAGGGGGCGGAGAATTCGCATCAGCTGTGTGCTCGGCCATCAAGTGGTATTTCAGACTGGACGTGCTGCGATGATAGCTCAGTTAACAACGACAAAACACACAGATCACTTTGGTCTTGTCAATGGAACCATTTGGCAACTTTTTAAAAGTAAACTTTCCATTCAGAATATTATTGGCATCCATTTCGGCGTCTCACACTCGCCATCCACTCAAAACGTAACGTCTACTACTCCTAAAGTGTGTGCGGCGTGCCTGTTGTTTTGTTTCCGGTCTAGCTAGATCCGGTGTGGTGTTTTTCTAACGTTACTAGTTGTTGCAACAGCATGTGAAAAAAACTACAAAGTGTGCTAGGCCAAAAAGAACTTTAATCTCGTGCTAAAAAAATGTACGCGGTTAAAATGGGTTTGTGTTAACGCCATTAATAACGCGTTTAACTGACAGCACTAATTAAAATGACTGCAGAATCAGAATCAGAACGTGGCAATAAACCTGAGGGTTGGGGTTAGGGCATACAATGTGCAATACTTGTATGCATTCAAAACAAGGCTGATTATACACACCTTTACAGAATCAGAGAGTAATGCTTAAAAATGATATTAAAGAAAGCACCTTTATTTTGCTCTTGATTGTTTTTAGATGGTTAGTTAACTTTATATACCTAAAGTAATTTATGACTGAGACCTGGGAACAAAATACACAAATGGAACATGACAAGTCATCAAACCCACTCGCAAGACTTTTCAGTCCCTTCAGGATTTTGCAGACTTTTTTTTACGTAACAGGTAGCCTGCTAAGCCATTTAATTTCTGATAAAGGAATATATAACACATTGTTGTTCTCATCCACTGTCTGCCTGCATTTAGTTAATTTGTGCCCGTCCCCTTCACACTATGTTTTTGCAGCAGGTACCCAGCCAGGTGCAGAACTCTTACCTAAAATGCCTGCTGTTGCTTACTAAGAAGTTTTTCTTTTGCAATTAAATTGTGTGAGAAAGGGAACATAGCAAAAACAGCTGCAAAAAAGCAACTTGTTCCAGTGAGAATAAAATCACTTTGGTGGGTAAATATGAGACATTCCGGTTGCACATGTCTGCATGGTCTGCATCTTCACAACTAGAAACAAGGGAGTTGGTGACGTATGACGTATGGAGATGAACAAATGCACTGAAAATATAATCCAAGAAAAAAGTTAACTTTCTTCTCAAACAGCATCGGAATTAATCTCCCTCCACATTTTATAGCCTTCAAACAACATAATGCAAATTTGTAATATGCTTTAGCATATCTCAATCCTGTAAAGATATTTTACTTTTGGAGCTAGTTGATTCATTTAAATGCTTAAAGCATTGTTTTTTGTGTTCCTTCTTGTTAGGATAGTTAGGAAGTCAATCCTGGTCCAGTATGCGACTTGTACAGTGTGATGTTGAAACTTGAAGCCACCAGTGCACATCCTCTGAGAATGGACTTTACAGTGAAGTAAGAGACATCTTGTGTAAAACTTCAGAAATTAACAACATTTGCATCAGAGATTCAGGAAGCAGGAAGTTTTACAATAGGGAATACATTACCGAAGTGAGTTTTTTTGTACAGTAATCAGTGAAGTCTGGCCCCCAGAAACACTCCGTTAGAAACCCATGCTGTTGCTAGCTAGCTAACTTTTAGCTCTGTTTCGGATTTCGAAAATATAAATATAGAGAACATTTTTGTAATTTTTTTTGCATAAATAGTTAAATAGGTTTGCGAAGGACTTCACTTCTTCCCCGGAGTTCTTGTGCTTTCTCGTCTCGCATGGATCCTGGTGGAGCCTCCTGCCATGGTCCTGCTTGACTGCCATTGCCAATACTGTTGTTGCTGTGCACCTGTCTGTCTGTCTGTCTCTCTGTCTCTCGCTCTCTCTCTCTCTGCCTCTCTCTCTCTCTCTCTCTCTCTCTCTCTCTCTCTCTCTCTACCCCAACTGGTCGAGACAGATGACCACCCACCTAGAGCCGGAGGATCTGTCCTAGGTTTCTGCCTTTTAACAGGCAGTTTTTCCTTGCCCTTGTCGCCAAGTGCTTGCTCATGGTGGTACTGTTGGGTCTCTGTAATTAATGTTATAAAGAGTTCGGTCTAGACCTGCTCTATTTGAAAAGTGTCCTGAGATAACTTCTGTTATGAATTGGCGCTATACAAATAAAATTGAATTGAAATTGAAGGACTGAGGATTTAGAGGTGAAGCTTTTAATTTAAAATTTTTTTTTTTTTAATTTAATCTGGAATTTAATGCATTTCTATGCTCCTGTTAATATATAATGTAATATATTAACTCATCATGCCTTGTCTTTAGTAAAACACACTTATGTGTTATGTGTTTTTATCGGCCCAGAATTTCCACATACTTGTGGAAACACCATTAAACCTTAACACCTTAAAATGTCCATCAGTATTAGGAGAAATGTGCCTCGGTTCAACTTTTAAAACCCCTTTTGCTTTGCTTTTTAAAATATAAAACTTTTTTTCCAACTTTATTTATAATTGGAGTAAAAAGACACCATGATCAGATGAGTAGGGTTATGGTGTAGGGTTAGGTTTTAAGGCGTCTAGTCATTTAGATTGAATTTTGAATGGGATTTTCTTACTTCTGGAACACAACTTGGACCATAGTTGTGTTTACAGAGTGACAGTCACCCAAAGGGGTCAAACAGTACAATCGACCAAAGAATTATAAAATCTCTTTGTACCCCTCAACCCACCACATTATAAAACTCTTTTATCGCCAACTTCTCCATCCATACTGTTTGTGTCTGAGCTTCAGTGTCTCCTCTCTCAGGCTTCCCATACCAGCCCTAACAGGAGATTTCAGTAAAAGCAGCAGGAATAGTGTTTTACACATTAGGCAGAGATGAGCCAACATAAACACATGGTTCTGAAGGACAGCAGAATAACAGAGGTCTGTCCAGCATCTGGTTACACTCTCACTGCTCCTCCCAGACCTGGCCAATCAATCAGAGAGAAAAGAGCAGGCTGCTAGACCTCAACTAACACCTCAACCAACTGTCCTCCAAAGCTACTGTGGCTGCTTGTGTGTCTTGATGTATTGTGTACTATGTGATGCAGTGCATGTGTTTGCTAAGCCATAGAATCTGGTTGAAATATTATTCAGGCTTTATTCAGAAGCACAATTGAACATGAAAAACGATAATATTATTAGGTTAATCAAATCAGAGCCGCTAGCACCCCTAGCTCCAGACATGTGACTGAAGTCATTTGGTCCAAGTCTCAAGCGATTCACAAGTCCTTTTTTCTTGGACAAGTCAAGTCAAGTCACAGGTTATGTTAAGTCAAGTCAAGATACTGTAGTCTTACATGCAGTATCCGGCCTTGAAAAAGAGGCCATGTGTAAAAGTTTTGTAAGACATTCATGGCTCCTAGACGATGTATCCTAATGACTTTGATGATCCCCTTTTCATCGATCTAGCACTGGAGTTTTCATCCAGCAACCTAAGCAACCTTAACAAAGTAGTTTAGTTGCCTAACCCTAATCAAACCTTAACCCAGAGGTGGCAGATAAGAAAACACTCATATGAGTCAATTTGGAAGCGAATTACAAATAAACCATTTTGTTTTCAGGGTCAGAGGACTTGCTGAACTGAGACTTCTACAATACCCCAAAAGAAACCTATAGCAGTATCTTTATATAGTCATTTTAGATAAATTCCCCTTAGATATTATTTCTGGTTCACAACTGACATGCCTCTGTTTTTTCTACAGATTTTAGGACACAAAGACCTGACATCCCCAACACAGCGGTATATTGACAGCAAAGTGGTACGAACACAAACAGAGGGAGAGTGGCTGTCCTTTGATGTGACGGAAGCAGTGAGCGAATGGCTGAACCACAGAGGTGAGTTCACATTCCTCCCATCACTGTAGCACATTCCTCAACACTTATTGCATGAGTTACATTGTCACCTTGACTCTTGTCTCTCCACAGACAGAAACAGTGGATTCAAGATCAGCCTGCACTGCCCATGCTGCACTTTCGTACCATCAAATAACTACATTATTCCCAACAAGAGTGAGGAGCTGGAGGCACGGTTTGCAGGTTATTTCAATCAAATGTCTGGTGTTATATTTTGTTATTGTCAACAAATCCTATGAAAAGACCAAAACCAACAATGTGTTAGTTCATCTCTCAATACTTTCTGACTTTCCTACCACCTTTTTCTATCCTACTGCAGTGATTGAGCAACATGTACATTTTCCATTAATATCAGTGAGGTGTACAAATCTCATAGTTATAGGCACCTGCTCACATTCGTTGGCTGGACTTGATGACAGGGTGGGACTTATGTGTGGCCGGGAGCACTGACTGAAAACTCAGCAGGAGAATGGCCTTCCACCTCTGCCCCCATGTTCGAATGCTTACTAAACGCACAAGTGCCCATCTTGGTAGATAAACATGATAAATTGCCCTTTAGGGTGCCCTTCCATTGGAAAAAAAATTGATAAAGTGCCCTTCTAGTGGAGGAAACATGATAAAGGGCCCTGTAGGATGCCCTTTCAGTGGAGAAAAACATTGTAAAGTACCCTTTTGGGCGCAACCCTAACCCTGACTAAGCTGTTTCACAAAAGTACCACTTTCTGACTGGTGCGCATTTAACCCCCCGCCCTAAAACCCTTTGAGCCACCACAGCATGCTTTCAACACCATAAATAGACGTCTGATGGGGTACAACTTTAAAAAACTCATAAATATATAGTAGCTTTGACTGGTGAATAAACTACAATGTGTGTGTGCTGTAGTGTCGGACCTGTGTGTGTGTGTGTGTGTGTGTGTGTGTGTGTGTGTGTGTGTATTCATGGTAATGAAGGAACATGTCACCTAGCCTCAGTGTGGTTCGTTGATGTGTTTTTAATAGTTTTTGGACAATAAGGGAGCTCTGTGGCACAGAGGACGAAGATATATCAGGCCTTGATACACATACAGTACTTGTTAGTAGATACATTCATTGTTGGTTTTGGTCTGCACATGAAATTTGTTGATATATTAATTACAGGTATATATTTAATTGTTTTGTAATAACAGGTGTATTGGGGTTAGATCTTCAACAGAACCTGAAATTATCATTTAAAAACTGCCTTTTTCTTTCTATCCAAGAGTTTCAAAAATGGTAGCAATGATGCTCAAAACAAAACTGAAATATTTGAACAAATATTAGATGCATTTCCAGACATACTTGGGTCACAGAGGATATATTCTAATTATCCTAATTTGAGATCCCCTGACTTAACATCTAACACCACCATTAATTTACCTGTTAGCTGTATCTGTAATATCTGTAACTGTTGGATCGATTGCCATCCCATTTAGTACAAATCTTTAAGATCTCTAGAGGATAGATCTTAATGACTTTTCATAAACCATCATCAGGTCAAAACTAATGACATCAGCCTTAACTGTACTGTGTGTTTACTGCTAATTAGCAATTCAGCCAAGTCCATTATTTATATTATAGCTGAACATTCATCATTGTCAACTTGTTATCAGGCTGATGCTAACAAAGTAATGGGGGGGCGAACAGCTTGCATACTGTAGAGGGATAACATTGCACCCTCTTGGACAGTCTCTCCTTGAAGGCATTCATGATGTGGGCACTGTTCGACAAACTGACAGGCATTTCAAGAATATGAATGCCTTTAGTTTGCATACTTTTATAAAGGTGATCAGATTTTGTTTTCAAATGTCAATTAACACACATACTTGCATGCAGCCTATTGATCACTCTGTTATGTTTCCAGGTATTGATGACAGCTTCATCCATGGCGGTGACCTTAAGGTTTTTAAGAAGCGGCGGCACAGTGCTCGAGCCCCACACCTTCTCCTCATGCTGCTGCCTTCATACCGGCTGGAGTCCCAGTCCCAGTCCCCGCACAAGAACCATCGATCCAAGAGAGCCCTGGATGCTGCCTACTGCTCTAGGTAATAACCCGACATTCACAGTCTCACTGCGTAATTCCACCAACCACTGCCCTTCCAGACACTGCTTGTGATTCCACCAGAAGAATTTCAGTAGTGTCCCAGCAGCGGCTCCCTGCTCTGCTACACAGAGAATATGTGGCTAGTCTATTTTCGACAGAAGCCATGTCAAGCACACAGGAACAGCATAGAGAATCTAGTCAATTTTTAAAATAAAACATCCTGTGCAGACTCCCAATCATAAAAACAGACAAAAGAAACTTCACAGCCTACTTGGCCATGGTAGAAGCACAGAAATCAATGAAAACTATTTATGTGTTATTCATGCATGAAGGTGAATCATCAGGGATCACTAAAGATACCAACATGCATATTACACTACACCAAGTGTTGCAGGTGGCGCAATATCCTAAACTTCATTGACTTTAACTAAGCCTCACAGGACTGTTTTGCTATTTGACCTGTATTGTATAGTAGCCTATATTGTGAGGTTTTGACATGTGGAGGTTTGATACGGTCATTAGCTGATTGTTATATATCCGATGTGACAGTAAGCAATTAGGCTGTTGCAGCTATGAATGTTTCTTAAAAAAGTGAGCTCCTCAAAAGCCATGCTACAGTTAGCATACTGGTCAACGTCACAGACCTGTGACCAATGGAATCAAGGAGTGGGTCTTATCACACACCTGATGAAAGATGTCCAGTGACAGTGATTACTGTATGAGCTGTACTCCATGGCAACAGGACACATTCTGTGTCTATAGGCATAAAACTCTCCATGGGAAGCCACTGTACTGAAATCCGTCTGTGCATTAAGAAGTGACAGAGTGAGGCAGGCTTCAATGCCGAGTAAAATCTTCCCACACAAACCTGAAAAAAATCTGGTCAGGAATCAAATCTATTTTAGCTGCAGTCACATAGGAATGTCCATCATATTAGAGGTAAACATCATTAAGATAATTGTTGAGATCTGGCGACAGAAATGATCACTTGAGTACTTGACAGGTCCCAACAAAATCAGGTTAGAGTCAGGTTTGTGGTGTACAGCTTCAGGCTTGTCTGGTTTGGTTATTTTTACATTATTATATTATATGTTACATTATTTTGTGCCTCTTAAAAAGAAAAATGAATACTCTGTCAGACTGCTACTTAAGTGTCTCGACGACATAAAGGCCTGGATAGCTCTGAACTTTTTAAATTTCAATGATAAAAAGACGGAAGTGATGGTTTTTGGTGGCACCACTGGGACCCCCCCTGTAGATCTGGGTTCCTTGGCCCAGTATAGTAAACCTAGCATCACAAACCTAGGGGTTAAGGTGGACCCTGAGCTTAAGTTTGACAGTCAGATCAAGGCTGTTGTCAAATCAAGCTTTTTCCATTTGAGGCAGCTGGCCAAAATAAAGCCAATTCTATCAAGGCAGCACTTTGAGACGGTAATCCACGCCTTTGTTACCACTCGGCTGGATTACTGTAATGCACTGTATGTGGGGGTTAGTGGGTCCTCCATCGCCCGTCTCCAGATGGTACAGAATGCTGCTGCACGTCTTTTAACTGGCACATGTAAACATGAGCACATTTCCCCCATTTTAGCCTCACTCCACTGGCTGCCTATTCAATTTAGGATCCATTTTAAAATTCTTTTATTTTAAAAGAAATTATTTCGCTGAATGGTCTTGCCCCGCCCTACCTCTCTGAGCTTCTACACCCCTACATACCCGTCCGCTCTCTCAGGTCAGATGATCAGCTGCTCCTGAGTGTGCCCTAAAACTAAGCGGAAGCTCAGAGGGGACCGTGCATTTGCTGTGTCTGCTCCTCCTTATTAAGAAATGGTTTCTTTCTTTCTCTAACTGTGCCCATCATTTTCTACTGCACCACAGTTCACCTTCCCCCTTTGTCTTTTTGTAGAAACGTTCAGGACAACTGCTGCTTACGCTCACTCTACATCGATTTTAAGAAGGACCTGGGCTGGAGGTGGATCCATGAGCCAAAGGGCTATGAGGCCAACTTCTGTGCTGGGGCCTGTCCGTATCTGTGGAGCGCTGACACACAGCATTCCAAGGTAGTGTATGAGGGACAGGGTCAAAGGTTAAACAAACTGTGGGGCAGTTGTGGCTCAGAGGAAGAGCAGGTCGTCCACTAATTGGAAGGTTGTTGGTTCGATCCCCAGCCCCTCCTGCCACCTGTCAAAGCATCTTTGAGCAAGATACTGAACCCCAAATTGATCCCGATCACTGAGTGAATGTGTGTGAAAGGGCAAATGTGGCATGTAGTGTAAAATATATATACAAGTACAGGTCCATTTACCATCTAGTGAGGGCAGTAACTTGAGCATTTTATCCTACTTTACTTTGTCATGTGTATGACTGGTGTGTGTATCTGCAGCTAATATCGGACACTGTTCAAACCAACTAGCCCAAGTTTAAGAAAAAACTTGAAAAGTCTATTATATTGACTGCTGACTTCTCAGCCCTCTTAACTGACCGACAGGTGCTGCAACTGCTAGGTTAAAAACAAGGCTTACCTACTTTCAGTCAGGACCACTTTTGTCGAAAGAACTTTTATTCCAAAGCAGAATGTTATATTTGGTGGTACGGCTCTGTTCTCGGACCTCCCTGCCCTTCCACATGCAGACATGGAAAAGTTTAAGACAAGGAGAACGGCAGCAGAGACCCCCCCAGGGTACAGAACAGAGCAAGCATCAATGGCAATCAGAAAATGACATTGATTAATTAGATACAACATAAAAGGAGGAGCTGGGGTGGAGGTGGGTGCAAAAGGCTTGTAGAGGAAGCAGCAGAGATAGGCAGGCTAAAGCAGCTTAAATAAGGCGCCATGCATGATGTTTGCCAATTGGATGCTCGAGGGAATCAGCTGAGCTGTCAGCTGACTGTGTATGGTTTCCAATAGGAAGCTTAAGAGGAATCAGCTGAGCCATCAGCAGATGTGTGTTTATGATTAGCTGTGATCATCTGATATAGCTGAGCTGAGCTTGACTTTCAACTGGGACAAGCAGGCTCCGAAATAAATAACATTTTCTATATACATAATCATTTTTAAACATACAATATGGATACATACATTAGAACAATGACAAAAGAAGTTTACTTACGTTGTGAAGTAGCGTGGAATCATGGGAGTTGTTGTCTTCACCACCACTGCAATCATTGCAGTCAGCTTCTCCCTGTTAGGATTCCTTCAGTGTTCATGGTTCAGGAGGTTTCTACCGGGAGCTAGGGTGGCCATTCGTCCAGCTTTAGGCCGGACAGTCCGGCTTTTAAATGCCCTGTCCGGCTGCAGGCGCAGCTTTAAGCTGGACACTCATTTGTCCTCCTTTTGAGAAAATAACTAAAAAGGTCCGCCTTTTGACACATTACCTTGTTAGTTTAATACTTATTGGCTAAAAATGTGTGTCAAAATAAATAATTTCATTTTCGTGTGGTGACCTATCAACACATGGCTAATTTTAATATTCAAATGAGCCATGTGTTGATTAGATCACCACAGTTGCTACCACCAGGCTGTCAATCAAGCTCTCAGCCACAGAGAACGTAACATTAGCTTCGGTTGTTGGACTGAAATTCTGAAAATGCTCATACTCATACGTAAAGGCACAGCCTAGGTAAAGCCAATACATCTGAAACAGAAGGTGCTGCATTTTTTTCCCCCTTTATCTATCCAGATAAAACATTAAGAACAGTTTCTGTGTGATGTTTATTAGACCTATGTAATCTGAATTGGAAGGGCACGTTGTCATGAGCTGTATCTTGTATATTTATTATTAGCTATGTGGTATGTGTATGCACCTTTATGTAATCTGGTGGAAAAACATTAAAATTTAAAACCGGATCATACCAAACAAATATCTGCTTGCGTGTCCCCGTGTATGCAAAGTGTCCTCCTTTTTGATGTGAAGGAAATGACCACCATACCGGGAGCCCAATGATCCACAGAGGTCTCCTCCTCTCCAAAACAAACAGACCCGCTGATTAAAACCACTAAACACACTGAATAAAGCAGTTCCACCTTAACAATTACTGCTTCTCCCACGCTGTTGGACAGACAGAGGACGTCCCAGAGGGGCTGCGAGCCGAGCTGCTGCTAACGTTAGCTCAGCTTGTTTCTCTGATAACTTAAGATCCAGACGTCCGATGACTAAAATCCTTCATCAGGTTCAAATCTAGAGTTAAAAAGCACCAAGATCTAAACAGTGGATGGTAACAATGTGGCTTCAAACTGGATAAAAAGACAGTTTATGACAGCTTCTGGCAGACAACCACAACGCTAAAGCATGCATAAAGAGGATATGACTCCATTGACAGGCGACCGGTGAAACGCAGCGTTACCTGAGAAAAATGACAGATTTCTCTAAGTCTCACTCTACATATACTGTAGAACATTGCTCTAGAGTTTATAGACATTTTAAAGAGGAAATGTTACATATTATAGCTTAAAATTAAGAAGGTTCGACTTCCTGTTCCTGTTTATTGTTTCCGTATTTAATTTATACAGTTAGGTCCATACATCTATATAAGACAACTTACACTATACTGTGCTACACTCAAAAAACTGCAAATCTCCAAAAGTTGCATCTGGACGTTGTGGTAGCATTGCAGTAGGTGCTTCACCATTTCAGTGCCGAATTCAGTCTACCCCATGGCATCACTCTAATTTTTGTCTTCCAGGTGTTAGGCCTGTACAACACCATCAACCCTGAAGCATCAGCATCACCCTGTTGCGTCTCCCAGGACCTGGAGCCCCTCACCATCCTCTATTACATCGGCAAGACCCCCAAAATAGAGCAGCTCTCCAATATGAAGGTCAAATCCTGCAAGTGCAGCTAGAAGCCCTTACAAGCCAGCACAAACACTCTCTCTCTCCTTCCTTCACACACACACACACACACACACACACACACACACACACACACGTGGGTGTACATGCAGTCAAACGCATCCATACTTTCTCTTACATGCACTATTATGCTCACTGCAGTGTTTCCACACAGGAATGGTCAGGAGTGGTGTGTTGGAGAATAGAGGTACAGAACAATTTAATGCTAATTCAATGCATATACAACATACAGGGCCAGTGACGTCATGATACTAGAAACTTGACTTTGATACCAATGCTAAGTACCAGCAGTACAGTGTTGCATTGCAGTATATGGTGGACATGGGTTAACAATGACAATGACAAGCAGTATGTGTATGTGTGCAGAGAATTTAACAATGAACACACGAGTCCAGATTGCAGTTTGCCTTCAGTTTGTTGTGTAATTCTTGGCAAAACCAGTGTCAACATAAACCCATTAAACCTTCTTCTCCTGGAGGAGAGCCAGTGCAGTTATTTGGTACTGCACAATGACGACTTCTTCTTATTATGAGGCCAAACAAAGCAAACAAAAGGCAGCAAAAATGAAGAATGCCCCGACATTTAATTATGATCCTACGGCAACTGAAAACCATGAAATAATGTACACATTTCCACACATTATATGTTATGCTAACTTTAGAGAATGTGTACCAGACTGTTTTACATGTTAAAGGGAGGCGGTACAGGTCAAAAGTGTAAATATTTTCACTAATAAATATCACCATGAAACTTCCCCAGTTCATTACTTACATTAAATTAAATTATATTTTAAGTTTTGAATAAAGCTGGTCTTGTTTGATTTTGTTGACATATTAGAGTCAAGGGTTTTTACAGAAGGAATTTTGGATATTCTTTTTATCACTCTATAAATTAGAAGATACTTTCAACTGTCAACAGCCATAAAATGCGACATGAATCAGACTCTAAATGATATATAAATGAAACCCTCTGTAAAAACCTAGGGTAAAAAAACCTAATATATTGTCTTGATTGATTACTTAATAGTTTTTTGTATTACACGTTTAAAGAAATTTTATGTTTAATTATGCAAAGGAGGCATTACCTAATTTTGGTCTGTGAAAGTGTGGTAAAATAAACACTTCAATGTGTATTTTTCTGAACCAGTTGATACCAACTGACCCTTCCTCTCTTCAGAGCCTAGCAAATAGCATGTCTAATTACAGGAAAGAAGGAAGTTGACCGAAGTTCTGACCGAGGCTTGCCTTAAGATGCAGTACCACTAATGGCCCCTAGAGACTGGTTTAAAAAAAGACTATATTGAAATTATTGAGATTCCAACTGACAGTATTAGCTTGTCACAGATAAAGCAAGGTGATCAGCCAGGTTTTTTCAATAAAAAAAGTGTAAAATAAAAATGTCAACTTAAAAACCTGCCACTGAGTAAATATTTGGGTCGCAATTCCTTAGCTACCAAATATTTTAATGAAGTAGTTGCTTTGACGACAGCCCTGGTTATTGTTTCAGTTGTCTGCCTCTTCCAGTATGCATTTGCACTGCCAACTTTGAAATCATCAAATTTCAGCTGGTGGAACACGTCTGATGAAAATATGTATGTAAAATAATCTTTAGCAGTGGTATCAAAGTCATGGGAATATTTTGGTTGATCCCACTGCACAGGACACATACATGCTATGCATACATACAATCATACACATACAGTGACACAGATATGTTTTTTGTACAGGTATGCCCTTTTTTGCATTTTGAAGGCCCTGTCAACATGCATCACCTCACACACTTGTCACACCGAGACACGAGAGTAAGGCAAACACTGGAAGTATAAGTGATAAGTGTCTATATGTGAAATAAGTCCTGAAAATAACACAGAACTCCCCCATCCCACCGCTTCTCTCCCCTAACCTCACCCCTCCACAGTTTTGGTACCACACCATGTCCTCATTTGTGTTTGTCTTTGTTTGGATTCATTTGTCATATCCTAAATCTTTCCATTGTTTTGCTATTTAAAACGTTCATGGTTATGGTTCTGCAAATATTTACCCAGAATGGTGGAAAGTGTCAACCTCGCACTGATGATATATAATATCTACTCCATTTTGTACTTTACAGAAGTTGTAAAATTCTTAATTTTGATCATTGCATGAAAAAGCTACCACATGAGCAAAGATCTAGATCGCATTGGAGCGCCTTAAAAGAAAATTCCGGTCTGTTATCACAATGGTCTTATTTTTGTAGTTTTTGCTTATTCTAGACAATGCTTAAAATTCCACCAGAAGCATAGAATACCCAGCTGGTGGAATTTACGCACGCTGGTCTATTTTTGATAGAAGCCACAACCCACTCATGTCAAGCAGCACAGAGCAAATCGCACTGACAGGAAGTCAAACACAGAAACGGCATAGAGAATCCGGTCAATTTTCAAAATAAAATACCGTGTGCAGGCACAGAATCAAAATTCATGCTAGATCAACAATATTTCACCAGGCCAGAGGTCAATCAGACAGAGGATTCAAAGCAGGGAAACACAACATTTTGTGACAAAATACACAAGTAAACAACATCAGGCAGGCAACACGCACTGAAAATGCTTCTGAAACGTTCTCGTGGGAGATGCGATGTCGCAAAGCTGTGCCCGGTGGAATTTCAGGGTTAGGGGCCAATCCCACAGAAACACGTTGCCTGCCAAACCATTGTTTTCCTATGGTAGAGCGAGCCTGGCATGTGCTCCTCTCTTCCGCCACACGTTACCAGTTTCTAGTAGGTTTTTACAACAGGGCTAACCACTGGAAGGTGTGCCTTTACAGGCAGAGAGCAGAGATGGTCAAGAGAGCTCAAGACTGAATGAAGAGACAGAGCAGCATTAGCGAACAGTGAATCAAACTAATAAATGTTGCTTACCTTACTTTCTGATTGTTTTACAGCGAGGAGAGAAACTAAACTTCCAAGCACAGAGATTCAGTTAGAAGCTACTAAAGTACTGAGATCTGAACACTCAGAGACTTATAACAACGTCTGTCTGTCTGCTCATGAGTTGACAACAAAAATTAGACCCAGTTTGTAATAAACCGGAATTGTCCCTTTTAATGTTGGTAATGGACATGTCATATCTAGAAAAAAGTCAGTGAACAGAGGTGTCCTTCATGTCCCATTTAGTGTATATTGGATGTGCTTAGCAGTGACTCATGTTGAACAATTAGTGGCTTTCCACACTTAGAGAAAACTCAAAGAAGTGATGACATTTCATAAGCTTAAGAATTACAGTGGTGCTATCTTGTGTGCTCAGCACAGCCGCAATTTAAGTCTGCGCTAGCTAGGAAAGCATGGGTCTGGAGAAAGGCGAGGCTGTCTTTAGGTAAGTGATGATGGAGCCATGTTTGGAGAAACGCTGTCGGAGATTAGTGTAATGAAAGATTGTAGAAGGTGTTAATGAATAGTAGATATGACCCTCAAAAATGCTCTTGGAGCCAAAAGTATTACAACATGTACCCAACCACCAACAGCCTCTGTCTCTCTGTACTTTCAACTTCCTGCCAACATTTGTTTCACCCATACTTGCAAAAGCTGTCTGTCAGTCATGATCTTTTTGTTATCTATTAAAAACAAATTGCACTGATGCTGTTTTAATTTTACTATTTTAAAATACCTACTATCCTTAGTTAGTCAGAACCTGCCCCCCTAGCCCCACCCCCCACCCTTATCAAGTGAGTGTTGATGTAGGTGACCTGACCCCAGCCCCCTTTGGGCATTTAGTGCCAGTGGACTTACTGAATAGCAGAAAAAAAACAAGAGTTAGGCACCAACTTTGTCACGACAGAGCTGTTATTTTTTATGTGTATTTGTTGGTTTTTTTGATGATGATGATGATAATGATGATGATGATGTTATTGTGACCCACTATGCTGTATTGTAACACAGTATTGTTGTGGTGCTCTAGTGGTAAATAAATTATTTAAGTTTCAAGGGAACTCAGTGTTATGTGTGTTCTTTCTGATGCTGATTTGTTTGTCTGAAGTGATATTTAATCTGACTGCTGCAGCATGTCCTTTCTAGAAACTCTAATTCCTCCTGCACTTGTTGAGTTCTGACTGCGGAAAGCCACAAAGACAAATAAGAAGCTCACGTTCCCTTCATTTGTGTAATACAATCATGCCTTATAACGTGATATATGATCAAAGGAGGATACTTTTGTAAGACTCGAGACAAAAGGAGAGAATGCTCACAGTTATGTATTATGTGAACAACCCTCAGCATAAACAAAAGGAAATATGTTAAGAATATGTCTTTCTGTGTCCTCATCAAGGACTTGCATGTTCCTGGATTCAGACTGAAGTAAAGCCAGGGTGCCCAGGTAGTCATAATGTTGTGGCTGATCGGTATATATAGAAAATTGTCTCAACCTTAATACACACAATGATTTTTTTAGGTACATTTTGCTATAAGGTTTAAAATGCAGAAGTGGGATCTGACTGTCACCTGAAGGTGACAGTTTGATTTTCTGCATCCTATTTATGTTTATGCTTTAGGTTTATGTACAGAACATTCAACTATGAACACACTGGTTTTTAGGTAATTTAACATAATTGGGTTCTGAACAGGTTAAAACAATCGCCATATGAACGCTGACCAATGTGTAGGATTTAGTGGCTTCCTGCGGTGTATTTCCAGATTGCAACTAACTGAACACCCCTTGTATGTTTATTTGATGACCTGGTAATAAGAACAGGCTGTGAAGTGTGTAGGAGAAACTGCAAAGGTCAGAACATTTGTCCATCCTGGGCAACCGTAAAAACATGGCAGTTAAATATAGAAGGCGACCCACCACATTTGTAGATAAAAACAGTTCTTAAACATTCTAAGGTAACAAAACAGCAGCAATCCTTATTTTCAGGAGATTATACAGTAATGAAAACATACCTATGAATATTATATTCCATTTCTGACACAGATTACACACTGAACCTTTAGGGAAGTGACACGCATTGTGCAAAAATGTATTCAAATGTTTGTTAATCTAATCTGAAGCTTCAGCAGTCTGAGTTAGTTAAGTCAATGTTTAAGAGCCTGAGCATACGGATCAGGTCAAACCTACAGCCCTTTAAAATGACCTGAGTGAGAGTAACACCACTAATAAATGTACAATAACTCAAAAAGACTAGATAATCCTACAAATACAAAGGCAGGTAAATGATGTTAACGTGTGTTTACCCCTCACTAAGGCATGATGCTGACAGTGTGAAAGAGGGATGGGTGGAGCGGGGAGAAACAGGAGTGAGAGCAGCATTAAGAGTGTGGGAGGTTTTTGTAAGCCCTGGAATGAGGCTTTCCACCGTGCTCTGTATGAGGGATTAGGTCTGCGTTGTGGACCAGTGATAAATAAAGACCGTGTGGTCCCTGCTCTGTGTGGTTCCTTTCCTGGAGAGAAGACCAGGGGAGAGCCTGGCACTGGCTCCCAGTCATAATCTCAACCTCCACGAATTATAACTCAGCAGCTCAGATAGAAACTATTGAAATGTGTCATCATTTGGGTCATTGATGGTCATTCAATTCAATTCAATTCAATTCAATTTTATTTGTATAGCGCCAATTCATAACAGAAGTTATCTCACAACACTTTTCAAATAGAGCAGGTCTAGACCGAACTCTTTATAACATTATTTACAGGGGGGACAATGAGCAGTCATTATAGTAATAATAGTAACTGTAGCAATAATAATATTAATAATAATAATAACAATAAGATTAGTAATATTAGCAATGGCAGTCAAGCAGGACCATGGCAGGAGGCTCCACCAGGATCCATGAGAACCTGCGAGACGAGAAAGCACAAGAACTCCGGGGAAGAAGTGAAGTTAGTATCATCATGTTGAGCTGAACAGGGCTGCACAATCACACACACGACTGCTGATCTGGGTTCTTATCCTGTACAATTACTTAGATTTAGATTTTTGCTGATACCATTCAAGTCTTTTAGCTTAAATTTCAAATATAATCTTTTGTTTGGCTTTTTAATGTTTAATTAAAGATATTTACATGTAAGACATTGAAACTACCTATACATACAGGCAAACACAGCTATAATACAATCAGTCTTAAATTTACAGAGTGCTGTTTTCTTATATTAATCTGAATTTTAAAAGTTATAGAACCATCACCATCTGTGAAATTACAGTAATTATTGATGTTTTCAGTGATAAAACAGTTAATGCTTATACACTGATCATTAGTCAACATTCTTGTGAAAACTTCCATAATTATGTGAGATATCTGTCAATTGACAAACAAATCAAATTTAACAGTTTAATCTATTAAATTAACAGTAAATATCCGCACAAAAATTATGTGAAATAAAGGAAAGTTTCTTTGAAAAATCATTTTATGAATATTTACAGTTAGAGATTTTTCATGTTATTAATAAAATAGACATTATTCACAGGCTATTTGTATAATTGTATTAATATTTCGATGTATTTAAAAAATACAGAAAAACCTGGAAAATAAATGGGGAAAACCCTGTACACTTACAGATTTTACAGTGTACAGTTCATAACGTCACTGAGCTCATGCAGGCATTATGTAAGAACATGCGAAGCAGAAGGGCTGTTTTATTAATTTACAGCTGCTCTAATCAGTGTTTTTATGTTAACAATGGATCAAACAGAAATATCTTGAGTTTAATCCCAAAAAACTTAAATCCACAGTTTGAGAAGTGAGTCATGCAGTAGCACTATCGCCGGTCATCAAAACTCAAGAGTCAATGAGGTGTGTGAGCAGTTCCCCTCCTCTGGATCTTGCTCCAATTATCTGCAGGAAACAAGATGGCATCTTAAATGCTTCAAAGTAGTCTCTTATCCGAGAACAACAGAAGCTACTCCAGATTTATTTAAGGCATAAGTTTAATCAGCTGTGTTAGGGTTAAATATTTGGGTTAGGATATGTTATAACATTAATAATAAGTGTATTTAAAGAACACAAGGTACTTTCCAGAGGTTGGAAAATGAACACAATGAACGAACAAACTGTGAAGCTTTGGCTCAGAGGCAGAGCGGGTCGTTCCTTAATCGGAAGGTTGTGGGTTCGATCCCCAGCTCCTGGTGCCACATGTCGAAGTATCCTTGAGCAAGATACTGAACCCCAAATTGCTCCTGATGCCGTGCATCAGTGTTTGAGTGTGTATGAATGTTAGTTTCTGTTCGATGGACTTTGCCATCACTGAGTGAATGTGTGTGAAAGGGTGAATGTGGCACGTAGTGTAAAAGTGCTTTTAGTGGTCGGAAGACTAGACAGGCGCTATACAAGTACAGGTCCATTTACCATTTACCATTACTGTTGATAAATGTCTTATCTAACAATAAACATGTTTATTAAAATTACAGTCTCTAGCCTAACACGAGTATGTATATATTTTTAAAAAGATTAATAAATTAATAGAATAACATAGAAAATCAATTAAATAAATAAATTACTTTATATATTGTTTTATTTTATTTTATTTATATATTATTCTTTTAATTTAATTATCTTTTTTTATGTGCGTTGCATGAAAGAATTGCAAACTCTCATTTCATTTTTCAACTGATACAGTTGAATAACTGTATTTAAAGAACACTCTTAAGGAAGGTGCTTTCCAGAGGTTGGAAAATGAGACACAATGACAGGACACCAGACAACTGCAGCAAACATTCACACAAAGTAGAATAAATGTACTAATGAAAGAAGTAAACTCCCAGTGATGAAATGAAATACACACACGCAGTCAGAGAGACTTGTGTAGAAAAGCCAATCTCACAACAAAAGAAAATAAATGTGATCTGGTACCAGTTCTAAAGTAGGAACAATGCTTATTAAGGTTAATAAACCTTTTCTTAACAGTTAACTGTGGTTTTTGGGGATGCTATAAATTGTTTCAAATAACTGTTCATAAATGTCTTAAACTCTAACAATAAACATGTTTATGTTGCTATTAACACTTGTTAACACTAATAAGCATCTTATAAATCCTTTAAAACCTATTAATGACTGGTTAGTACAAGCACCTTCATATAAGGTGTTACAAAAATCTTATGTATACAATTTTTTAAAGGTGAATATTTCTGGTAAAGCTTAGGCTAAATCATTTTGGTTATGTCAGCTAAGTCAGTGTCTGGTAGTATTGTCCCTTCACGCGTCAATGGTCTTAGGACCAGGTTGCATAGAAAATAAGTAGTTCTTACAACCTGTTCTCAGACCATGTCAGGAATCAAGAGTGTTTACAGATGTTCCCAGCAGCCACAATGAAGTGCACATTTTCAAACAGTCTCTCCTGTAAGACATTCATGGTGTTGCACCTTACTTGTTCATATGAAAAGTGACAGAAACGATTGGGTATCAAATTAAAAGGAAAAAGTTTGGACACAGACAACCTTAATTCGACATCGGAAAGGTGTGGGGTGAGGGGGGTTCCAAAGCTATTCAACCATCAAACATGCAGTATACTGACACCTTTTAGTTCAACTAGTTCCCAGTAGCTTTTGGGAAGCTACTTTTTTGGATGCCTAAAAAGAGGGCTGAGGGATGAGCAGTTGAATTGTCCTGAAAAGGCACACCAGGGACGGGAGGGCTGGTCAGCTGGGTGGGACCTGGTACAGTGCCAGTGTTGTGTTTAAGTCTGTTTCTCCAATGACTGTAGTTTCCCTTACCATAACCTGTACCCGACCTTCACCCAAACACCAACCAGTCATAACTAAGACCCCTGACAAAAGCCTAACATTAGTCAGCGTTGGGCTGAAGACTCCCAGTTTGAAAATGAAAGAATGGAGGTATGGACTTCCTGTGTGAAGAAAAAGTACTCTTACAGACAGAGACAAGCTTCTGCAAGAGGACTGGAACTGATCGTGGAGTCTAACCGGTTGTCTCTGGCTCGAATCATGAATCCAATCAGATTCCTGAGGCTAGTGGAACATTTCTTTACTATCTGTCTTGCACATAA